ACAGAACTAGAACAAATAATTTCACAATTTGTATGGAAATAAAAAAAACCTCGAATAGCCAAAGTAATCTTGAGAAAGAAGAATGGAACTGGAGGAATCAACCTGCCTGACTTCAGACTATACTACAAAGCCACAGTCATGAAGACAGTACGGTACTGGCACAAAGACAGAAATATAGATCAATGGAACAGAATAGAAAGCCCAGAGATAAATCCACGAACCTATGGTCACCTTATCTTCGACAAAGGAGGCAAGGATATACTTTGGAAAAAAGACAACCTCTTTAACAAGTGGTGCTGGGAAAACTGGTCAACCACTTGTAACAGAATGAAACTAGAACACTTTCTAACACCATACACAAAAATAAAGACGACACAGTTTAAATTAATACAATATGAATAGTTGAAAGTAAAAATTAAAAATCATTAGTTTTTCCAAAGCATTAAAAAGAATTATTTTAATTTTATAAAAGTACTTTGATGATCAACAAACTGCATGTTTCACTTTTTAAACAATCTGATTTTTATAATAAATTATATTGCTGAATACTCATAATAATAATCTTTGAAACAAAAGAAGACTTACCTCTTAAAGCTACTAGACACAAGGAAACCATTGTGAATCTACAAATCTCTTTTAGTCCCAAACCTAAACTGTAGCTAATTTCCTTTCTTAGGGACACACCAGGCAGAACTGAAAGACCAAGTTATTGTGGTAAATTTCATAAGCTCCCCAAGGTCAGTGATTTGGAATACATCTTCCTGAAGCTTAAAATCTGCTAATTCTGTGCTATTCTAAGACAGTTCTTACGTTACTAGGTCTGAAAGGCAGAATTTCCTTTTAACCTCTGGTATTTCTCAGCAGTTTCTAACTGTAGTATGATCACCTGATGGTGTACTTTTAGCCAGCTGTGTATCTTCATGGTGGTTCATCTGTCTTAAAGAAAAAAAAAAAAGGGATGGCTAGTTACAAACAGGTGATCATATTAGTGGAGGTTTAAGGCAGAATTAGACAAAAGTTACTGGAAATAGGATGTACTTTGTAGAAGGATAGCATATCCAATAATATGAAAAATCATTAGAAATAAAATTGAAAAAAAGAATATTTATGAAACAGGTAAATGGCTGTTTTACCTAGTGATCAAATGTTCAGAGATTGAAGCCACAGAAGATAATTATGTGGCTTTGCAAGCACTCTTTTATTCAGAAACAGCAGAAGGTTTTTGTCTAATAAGCCTGCAGGCAGAGACGTAGTAGATGATAGCCATGGAAATATCAGCCCTGCGACAACTGGGTGCTGTGAGGGGTGGCATGGTGACCTGCACGCATGGGTGGAAGCAGGCAGCTGTTTTAATATGACCAGTCATGTCCTCGGCTCTCGCAGTAGCTAGTTCTAAACTCAGTTTTGCTTCTTGGGTGTGTTTTTCACTTGGGAAATTCAAAACAAGATCAGCAAAGGGATCTATGGCATTGGCATGTTTTAGACACTATGTGGAATGAATAAAAGAGTCCTCAGGATTCAGGCAATTAAATCAATTCATCTGCTTTATTTCTCAAGTTTTTATTATTTTTAAAAGCCTATTCTGGATTTTATTTCATGAATTATTGTTTTCCTCTGAAGTTGTATGTAAATGCTACCCATATAGGAATAAGGGCATATTTTCAAATATTTGAGATGAAAACTTGCCTCTTGACAGATACTACTTTTGTAAATAACAGTTTTCCTCTTTTATTATGGTTTCCTAGATGGCTCAGTGGTAAAGAATCTGCTTACAATGCAGAAGACGCAGGTTCAATCCCTGGGCCAGGAAGATCCCCTGGAGGAGGAAATGGCAACCCACTCCAGTATTCTTGTCTGGGAAATTCTGACTTGAATGGGAGAATCTGAAAAGTGTTTCTAAAAACAAGTTCTTCAAAGTCACATCATCCTGAAAAGATGACAATGCTTATTATACTTACAAGAGGCAGAAGTGAAAGTTGTTGAAACAGTTTGTCCAAATGATCTAATAAATTCACAGTTGAGTTATAAAGTATCCTGAATTGCTAGGGTACTATCTAAGTAAATTTTGCTTCTGTTTGTTCTAATAAAAGAATATTGAGGGCTTCTCCGGTGGCTCAGTGGTAAAGATTCTGTCTGCCAATGCACAAGACACGGGTTTGATCCCTGATCCGGGCAGAGCCCTCCTATTGCAGGGCAACTAAGCATGCGTGCCACAACTACTGAGCCTGCGTGTCTTCCACTCTCTGCAACTAGACGAAAGCCCAAGCAACAGCAAATACCCAACACAGCCAAAAGTAAAATAAATAAATAAAATTGTTAAAAAATAGAAGTATATTGATTTTAAGATGATCACAACTGAGGTATAGTTCAAATTTCTAATAATTTTCTCAGCAATGCTGTCTTATTTCTCACCTGGAAGTAAAAGAATGTGCGATTGTGTTGATATTGTATACTAAAGTCTCTACATTTTCATAAATTAAAAAAATTATGAGACAGGAGCTTAGCTGGCAGTCAAAGTGAGAAAAGATATATTAATATATAATATCCTTCTTACACTTTTAATTTCTTGATATAGTGACAAGATGAAGAAATCATAGAGTCTCATAGAGGTAAGATATATTATGATGTTGAGGCTGACTTTGAAAGCAAAACAGTATTGTCTCTTTATCAAGTAAACCAAGAAGTGGGGTTTTTTAATTGGTTAACTGAATTTTAAAATTCTGAACTTCCAGATGACCATCTCCACCAACTAGTTCCTTTGCTTCAGCTGGAGTATCATTTTTAGGTAAATAGTGAAAAATTACCCTATATTCACTCTTCTAAGGATATAATAAATTAGGCTAATTAGATAACATTCCTATACTACTTTAAAAATCATGGTCATAAAGTTTCATTTTATGGAGCAATCAAAAGCAATTTTTTCAAAATGAAATTAATACTCCTTCTGAAGGAAAACTGAAAATAAGTATGTAATTAAGCATATACAAAGAAAAAATTTCTTATTCAATAATTCTAATAGAACTAAATTTATAGACTTTAACGTCAAAGACAAGCATTCATTCAAACATTATTGTCAATAACCTACAGCATCACATTGTTGTTGACAATTACTAATAATAGCAAGACAAGCATTTTGATGAATGCAAAATGTCATGGAAAATATCACAGGATGCAAAATAACACTTTGCAGTTATCTAGTTCTTTTTATTTATCAAAGTGCTTTCACACTTACTATATTAAATATTTTACTCTCAATTTTTAAGTAATGATTTTTTTATACCTTATGCATATGTACATAATTAAAATTTTCTTTCCCCTGAAGAAATGCCAACCAAATATCCACAAACTCTTTTAACAGGTTTTTTTTTTTTAACCATTGTTTTTCAGATGTTGCTCCTTTGATTAACTCCTATCTCTCTGCCTCTACTTTCCCTTGTTTTATCCTCTGGAAAAATGCTACCTCAGGAAAATCTTTATCCTCATAATCACAGTTCTTTCATGTTTTCTTTCCTTTTCCCATTGAAAAGGTCCACTCAGGGTCTTCCTTGGTAACTATGGTATATTCTTCCTTGTATTGTAACACAGATCATATTGTTTTGCTGCAAGATGTATTGCAGGCTATTTTCTATACTTGCTAATTTGTACCTTTCACTCAGAACATAACATGGAGCAGAGATAATAAGATTCAGTAGGGAATCAAGTTTAAAATCAGTTGTGTTTGGTAGTGCCTTGGTGGTCCAGTGGTTAAGAATTCACCTTCCAATGAGGGTTTGATCCCCAGTTGGGGAAGTAAGATCTCACACGCTAAGTCTGGGCAACTTAGCCCAGACTCTGATTAGAGAGAAGCCTGTGTGCGGCAACAGAGATTCCCTGTGCTGCAGCTAAGACCTGATATAGCTGAGTAAATAAATAAATACTTCTAAAAATCAGTTGTCTTTGCTATATGATAAAGGCTGCATTTATTTGCTCTGATTTCTTTTAGGACAACAGAAATACTATATTCTATACTTTCATATTTTTATTACAACTACTCCTTTGATAGAAACAGCTATACATGCTATAAATAGCTATACATAACAGTATGTACTTAATAGGTATCTATTGTCAACATAGAAATAGCCTTAAGATACTACCTGCTGAGTTGTCATTAAAATGAGTCACCAGTCTACATGAAACCAGATTACCAAGATGATTACTTGTCTTATTTTTTGCCTCTTCATTTAACTTTTCCTCTTCCAAAACTAATTCTTAATTATTTTTGTATGTTTCATTGGGACAGTTGTATCAGTTACTTCTCCAAAATTATTGCTTTATAGACTCAGAACAACTGTGTTGACTCTATGGACTGGTATGACTATATAAATTAAAGGAACTTATAATCTTTTCAGTACTATAATACTTGTTGAAGATTTATGCATTCTCTATATGTTTCATTGTTTAGTTGTACTCAGAAACCAGATTATTTACTACCTTATTCTTGATGTCACCTTGTGTAGGAATTATCCAACTGTGAATTTCCATGGAAATTATTTGTGGCAAATGTTGACTTGTATCTTGTCAAACCTTTTGCTTCCATCACTATCATTGGTGCCTTTTGCATGTCTCATGATGACTGTCCCAGTTCATACTGAGGAATTGTGTGACTGATCATGAAAAAACAATCACAGTGGCATTTTGGCCTGTTTTATCATTTTAAATTGGATTCTGTGAATAACTTGCTAAAATATATGTGAATTGTTGGATCTACTATGAGGTATCTGTTTTTGGCCATTCACACTGTCTTAACAAGTTGTGAGAGCAGGCTACAGGGTAAATTTTAAAAGATAGTAATCATTGCAAGGCTAGTCATCACCGTATTATAAACTTCTTTACTGTCTCTATGCTACAGTCACAGATGATATTTACACTTAATCCAGTGCATTTCCGTCTTGTTCAAATGAGAAAATGACTCTTGTGGGAATTCTATTGACTGTTTCCACCTGCTACAGGGTATTAACAGATTAGACCAAACATTGGGAGGTGCCTCATGTCATCTACGGGAACAATAGCAGGTTTGTTTGTCTTTCTTCCTTCAAGGATATTTGAAGGTCAACTTTTGAAGAGAGTGTTTTGTGAACATAGAAGAAACCATGTTCTTGTGTGGAAGTGGGCAGATGCTTGACCTGAAAGATCTTCCAACCACATGACTACAAATAGGAAAAGAAAGCCTAACTTGACAGACCGGTTGTCTTAGTGTCTGCTTTTTCAGCTTGCTGAGGGCTTCACCCACCCTTTGACATCTCCTGCTTAGGGAGAACCTGTCTCAGAGAATCACACAGTGAATCACAGTGTTCAGTGCTCCTAGCTTAGAGTTGACACAGGAGAAAATCCAAAAGAAGAAGTGGTGAAAGAAGTGTCTTTTTTTCCCCCCCAAATTGCATTCTATAGAGGTTTGAAACATGCACATTTCTCAATATTGTTTCTACACTGATAAATGACAATATAATAGCAATTAAATAATTTAATGGGTGATGTTCCTGGAGTTTCTCATGTCCCCACTGCATGGTAAAGGTATGCAGAAATCACGCAACTGGCTTTTATTTCCTTTTCTATACAATGGAAAGCATAATGGGTAATTCTTTCTTATGTAATAGGATGTTTTATACACATTTAAGAAATGTTCATTGAAGAAATGAATGCTATGGGCTGACAGTTCTTAAGATTCATAAATATCTTATTATGCTTGACATCCATAATATTAGATGAAAGAAAATGCTTTTTCTTTTTACCTCTTATTGAAGAAAACAACGATATTTTAAAAGTTGATATACCATGACAACTGGCAGAAGACACTCAAAAGAGTAGTCTGTGATGATTAGTATTATAGTAAACAGTAAATGGATAATTGAAAGAGAGATTAGTTTGGGTTGTCAAAGGGTTATGTAAGAGATATACAT